GTGTGTACACGATTTGTCGCCGTGTGAAGCGTTACTAATGCAAACACGTCGGTTCAAGACGAGATTAAGGAAAGCTTCTGTTCCCGCGATTCATTAACGTCTCCGAGGAACACACCGTGGCGACGAAATCGAGTTTACTGCAGCAATCTAGATATATTTGAGTCCGTCTGTCATTTCGTCGCATGATTGCTCGTCATAGATCTCAGATCTCAGTTACCCGTTAGGGATACGTTAAAGGGATACGTTATCCGTTTCCCTTTTCCCAAGAAATTCTTCTTCGAGAATAATAAAGATAAAGATTTTTAAAAAAATTTATTTCTCCAATCACATCAAACCATCACGGATATTATTCCATCCTGTTCGATGAAATTTCTCGTTTCTCGTGGAATTGAACGTTCCCTGTCCGAGAGATCGAGATCTTCCCGAGATGCGTATCATTAGCATAACAGAAAGCCTAACGAGGATTCATTGTCAGACACGTTTGAATTCAGCCGTGATTTAGCGGTTCTTGTTAATTACATTCCGCTTGTCGGAACTTTGGACTGATTATTCCGATAGACAATAATAATCGGCGGTGGTTCGAGGCTTCTCGAATCTATCGGAGCTAGGCGAATTTCGCGATTAATCTCTAAGGAGAATCTAATTAGTCCGCGAACAATGACCGTGACAAAGAGGAACGACGCGTCGTGGATAGTAGCAACCTGCGCCAATCAGTCATTGCCAGCTTGTCAACCTGGCAACATAGAACGCTTTTACTGACTTCGTCTAATCTACTCTTCGTTTGTTCTCCATCATTCATTCGAGTATAATTCCCTGTTTCGTGAGAGAAACAAAAACTAGAAATTAGGGGAAGAGGATTTTTATTAAAGACTCTGTTTCTTTTTCCGTGATATGGAAAAAAAATGAGAGAATAAAATCGATGTTCTATTGTCAATTTATTTATGTAAAATCGAATGCAGTTAAAATTTTAAAAAAACATTATTATTTTAAAACACTTATTTATTATTATTTAATTTTAAAACACTTAAAATAATAAATAATCTATATATTATCGCAAATACATGTACAATTACTACAAGATATAAAAAGAAGTAAGTAAATTTTTATATAAATATTATAATTTTTATATTATATATTATATTATTACAGGAATTAAATAAAATGATTAACAAAATGTTTCACACGTAAAAAAAAATATAGGTACAGAGATACAAACATACATGTAATAGTATTAATTTCTTAATTTATATAGTTTAATATTCTTTTACAGAAAATGATTTATATTATTACTACTATTAGCTGATTACATCAATTGCAGTAAAAAAAAAAATGATATCTGGTGCATAACTGTTGAAAAACATTCAAGTTTCAAAAATAGCAGCAAAAAGGTATGTAAATAAAGTAATATATTAAGATAATTATTTATAAGTATATAAGTAAATTTTTTGAATTTCAGAAATTTCAAGAATTTGGCGTCACTTCCAAGAAATGCCAAAATTCGTGGAAAAATTTCCAGAACGAGCTCCAATCAACTTATATTCTCCTAATACAAAATCGAAAAATTGGCACAATCTTTCGTGCGCTCAAGAATTCCGATTCTACAATTTTAATTAATTTACAATTCTAAAAATTGTAAATAAACATTGAAAATACATAAATTATATATGTAAATGTAACATTAAAAATCTAAATAAACACATTATTTTTTGTCAATAAACCAAAGTTTTTATTTACTTCCCCACTCCCAAAATTTGTAAAATTTTTTAATTTCAGAAATTTCAGGAATATGACATCAATTCCAAGAACTGCAAAAATTTTTGGAAGAATTTCTCAAGCGACCTCCTCTCAACTCATGTTCTCCTAATACAAAGTCGAAAAATTGGATAAAATTTTCGTTTCTTAAAGAATTTTAGAAATTCCAGGAATATGACGTCATTTTCAAGAACTTCTAAAATTCTTGAAAAAATTTCTCGAGCGACCTCCTCTCAACTCATGTTCTCCTAATACAAAGTCAAAAAATTAACTAAAATTTTTGTTTCTTAAAGAATTTTAGAAATTCCAGGAAAATGACGTCATTTCCAAGAACTGCCAAAATTCTTGGAAAAATTTCGCGAACGACCTCCTACCAACTTATGTTCTCCTAATACAAAGTCGTATTTTCGACCAAAAATTTTATTCGCCTTCACGATTTCGAAAATTCCAAGAATTTGACGTCATTTCCAAGAATTGCCAAAATTCTTGGAAAAATTTCGCGAACGACCTCCTACCAACTTATGTTCTCCTAATACAAAGTCGTATTTTCGACCAAAAATTTTATTCGCCTTCACGATTTCGAAAATTCCAAGAATTTGACGTCATTTCCAAGAATTGCCAAAATTCTTGGAAAAATTTCGCGAACGACCTCCTACCAACTTATGTTCTCCTAATACAAAGTCGTATTTTCGACCAAAA